TATCAGTGAGTTTTTAAACATTTTAACCTTTATTTATTTTTGTGTGTGCATGCCATATCACACCTGTGGAAGCCAGGGTAACTCTCCTATCATGTGGGGCCCAAAGATTGAACTCAGGTTGTCAGGCTGCCAGCAAGCACCTTTGCTTGCTAGTTCTGTCGGGACCTCTATGAGTAATTTTAAAAACAGATGATAAAATTCCATTCGCAACAGCAACCAAATCTTTAAGTAATTATTAAAAATCTCAGGGAAATATTACTATTTGTATTGATATACACATATATTCATGTTTCAGTATATATTATATACATCGAATACATGTGCATTCACAAATACGTTAACCTTACTGAAGGATATAAAATACAAACTGAATAAATAGACCACTCTTGTTCTCAGTGGGATTTCTGATGAGTCTCAAACAAAGGGCAGCTTCCCCCCCCCCCCAAGAACCCAACATCACAACCAGAAGCAGCGGACAAGCCAGAGAGACTCTCATTTCCAAGACTCAGTTGGATGATACAACTTAGTCTGGCCACTCCAGCGGCTGATTAGCCGAGTGACAGCATTTTGTCACTTTGCCAGCTTCGTCACAGGCAAGGCCCAGGACAGGAAACCCAGTGGCTCTTCTTTGTCAATGAAATAAACTCACTTCACTGTCCTAAGATTTGACAATACATCAGAGAGCAGGGCTGGGTTAGTAGAAAATTCCACTTGTGGCTGGCTACCAAGACTTGACATTAGCCTCACACTAATGCCACAGAATGGCATTCTGGCTGGAGCATACTATGAGATTCTATTTGGCACCATTGAGACCTTTTCTCAGAAGCTGATAGGTAAATTCTAAGTAACACCTCTATGGACATTTAAAACAAACAAACAAACAAACAAACAAACAAACAAAAAACACTGACACAATCACACCACTGAGGGAACAGAAGTATTTAAGAACACTAGAAGGAAAGACACTTTTGATTCAAACACTCCCCAAATCCTCTTCACTTTTCAAACCTGCTTGTTACATTTTTGCTGTTCTTGTTACGATACCTACAACTGCTGTTTGTCTTAGCTTACCTGAAAGCTCCAGGAGGCACTTACATGAGACATTGCGCCCCTCACTGGAAAAACCCAGGGACTTGGCTGCAGCAAATGCTCACTCACGTGAGGAGTCACTACAGGCGGGCAAAGAACTCCTCACTTTTGCAGATAAGGGAACGGGGTCTATCACTAGATAACAACGTGGACAGAAGACGAGCAGCTTGGATAGTCTGAGCTATAAACACTGTAAATTCGTTTATCACAGTAACAACTGGCAGTGACCTGGGATCGAGACCGGATCCTCACATCTGGCAACACACACTACATAAACTGACTGTGGAGGGTAATCGAGTAGGGATTAATACTTGTTTCATGATCTGAAAGGGAAGCAGGCACACCTGGTGTAATGTTTGAAATGCTGAATGTTTCCATAGTAACACTGAAAGTTTGACATTCATAAAATAAACTGTGCATGTTGCCTATGTGAGCTCTCTAGTTACAGGGCTGACGTCAGCAGAAAACCTTCCATGGTCCACATGCTGACGAGGTCTCACTCCTTTATGCATAACTCAGGATTGGAGCATTATGTAAATTAGCTGTGGCCTTGTTGGAATCTACTTCTTGTGAGTTTTCTGATGTAAAAGGAAGTTTGATTTATGGCGAAATGTTTTCTTACATGTGCTACATTCATAGGGTTTCTCCCCTGTGTGTATTTTCTGATGTTCAGTCAGAGTCCAGAGCCGACGGTAGCTTTTCCCACATTCATTACATCCATACGGTTTCTCTCCTGTGTGAATTCTCTTATGCACTGTGAATGCTGACTTATGGCGGAAGGATTTCCCACATTCTTTGCATTTATGTGGTTTTTCCCCAGTATGAGTTCGCTGATGCTCGGTAAAGGAGACTTTCTGGCAGAAGGTTTTCCCACACTCTTTACACTCATAGGGCCTCTCTCCTGTGTGTGTCTTCTGATGGTGCCGGAGAGCTGACTTCCGGCAGTAGGTCCTCCCACACTCGGGACATTCGTAAGGTCTCTCCCATATGGTTCTCTTATGTGCAAAGCGGCGTGAGCTTTTGTGGACTGTACGCTTATGGTCGTGGCACTCACGATCCTCCTTTGTGTCCATTCCTTCCTGTTGGATGCAGTTTGACTTCACAGGGGATGTTCGACCCCATTTACTGAGCACGCCAAGCTTCTCTCCGGTGTGAGTCCTCTGATGTATCGTGAGTGTTGTCTTCAGGTAGAAAAGCTTCCCGCATTCATTACATTCGAAAGACTTCTTCCCTCTGTGGATTACCTGATGGGCCACGAGAGCAGACTTAGTGCACAGAAACTTGCCACACTGGCGGCATTTATAGGGTTTCTCTCCGGTATGACTTCTCAGATGCACATTGAGGGCCGACTGACAGAAGAAAGTTTTCTCACACTCACTGCACTCATAGGGTTTCTCCCCCGTGTGAATTCTCTGATGTGCCGTCAGGGCTGACAGACAGAAGAAGGTTTTCCCACACTCCTTACATTCATTTGGTTTCTCTCCTCTGTGAGTTCTTTGGTGTACAATGAGGTAAGACTTCTTGCCAAAGGCATTCCCACATTCCTTGCATTCATAAGGCTTCTCCCCTGTGTGTGATCTGAAATGCTCAGCCAGGGCTGACTTCCGGAAGAAGGTCTTCCCACATTCGTTACACTCGTAGGATTTCTCCCCTCCATGGATTCTCTGATGCACAATGAGGGCAGATTTGTCAATGAAGGCTTTCCCACACTCTTTGCATTTATAAGGTCTCTCTCCAGTGTGAACTCGCTGGTGTCGAGTGAGGCTTGCCTTTATACGAAAAGTTTTCCTACAGTAATTACAAGCATAGGGTCTCTCTCCTGTATGGATTCTCTGATGGACAATGAGGGTGGACCTCTTAGAGAAGGTTTTCCTACACTCAGCACATTCATTTCGCTTTCTTTCAGCATGGTCCTCCATTCCTGCAGAGTGGGCTGACTTCTGGAGGAAGGGTTTCCCACCCTTGTTAAGTTCAGAGGGCTGACTTAAAGACTGGATATTCTGGTATGGATTAAGATCTTCACCGTGACTCCTAACATCCCTAACTTCATCACATTTGTTCCGTCTTGTCCCAGAATGGCTTTTGTCAGGCCTTGTGTGGGGTGGGAGCTTCTCACACCCACCGGGCTCAGCAATTAGCTTTGCATTTGCTTGGCTTGACTTTGCAACGGTTTCTTCTGAATTAGTTTTCAAGCCATTTCCCCCTGGGTCATATTTATGGAACATTTTTTCTGAAGAAACAGTATTCATGTCAAGAGCAACTGTTTCCTCGAACAGAATGGCTTTTTCTGGCATCTTTTTGTTACTGAAGACTAAAAATTGCTTCAAATGTTTGTCTTGTATTCCCTTGTCCTTCTCTAAGGCATCATCATCTTCTGGAAGGAAGGAAGGAACAGAACTGACATTAATATGTGAGTTCTGTGCACCTCTGAAATGACAATGTGTACAAAGGCCTTATGGGGGCCAAGTCTTCAGGGCTGGCTTTCCATTCAAGTGTAAATGTCTTCTACTTGTTGCATTTATAAGGAAAATAAAGAAACAATAACACAAGGAGGAGAGGAAGGGGGCAAGGCAGATTCAGCTATACCAGCTTATTTAACTGTGTCAAGGAAAGAAGAAACTGGCAAAGAATACAAGAGCTTTGGACACTGACAGAAACATTCCAACATGGAACAGTCCCCCACATCCCCTGGAAGGATGGCTGACAGGGTGACGTGGACAAGGATCTGGTGGGCACCAGGCAGAGACCAGGTGAAGCAGACCTCAAGAAGCCAGTGACCTGGGGATGTTTCCAGTGACTTGAGAACCTTGGAGTCTGTACACATGCAATGGAGAACAGGAGGCATGAGTGGAGGTGAGTGGAGGTGAGTGGAGGTGGACTGCAAGGAGGAGGCGGGCACTCTGGTGGGCATGGTGGGGGAGAATGAAGACGTCAGTGTGTGGTGAAGGGGTGGGATCTGTGGACAGAGAGCATAAAGCCAAACGTTTTTATATGAATACATTTATTTGGGAAGAACATTTAGGTATATACAGCATAGGTTCTAGAAGATTCTACACAAAGGATCATATAGGGGCCAGCTGTGATCACTGATCAGCCTGGGACTCGAATTCTTTTGTTTTTACCTGCTCGGTCATCACACTTGCCTGGATGGTTCTGACTTGGCGATTCTTCCACTACCCACGGCTCTTTTCCTTGCTCCAATTTTAAGATCACATCTGGTTTGCTAACACGAAACCCTGTTAATGAGAAATAGTACAGAACTTGGACCAAGCTCTGTGGACGTCAAGGACTTACGGACGGGGAAACTGAGCAACAGAGATGCCCAACAACAGCTCAATGAGGCCGGTACAAATTAGTGAAGGGCAGGTCCATGTGTGTACACGTGTGTGCGCACAAACTATCATCTTCCTCCCTTGTTATTCAAGGAGAGAGAATTCAGTTCTAGTATTGCCCGTGTTCTTGGGACACAGAAGAAAGGCTAGCCCTGGGGTGCCAGGTAGAGATTGTACTCACCCACTGAGAGGAGGTTCCTGTAGTTCTCCAGCATCACGTCCCTGTACAGGAGGCGCTGTGCAGGGCCCAGACATTGCCACTCCTCATGGGTGAAGTCCACGGTCAAATCCTTGAAGGAAACCGACCTCTGAAAGAACATGTTTCATCTGAGATAATCAGAACTGAGCAACAGCAAATCTGTGGGACTATCAAAGATCAGGAGGGCACTGCCATGGCCAGTGTTAGGCTATGGAGAGATACTTCATGGGGGAATGAAAGAATAGAAATCACTCACTATTTATGAATGAGGTTTTTAAATGTGTGGAGTTTATATTGTGCCCTGGAATTCTCAGATTACAGGCTCATGTGCAATATGGCTCTTGCTCTCAAGGAGCACCCAGCGTGACAAGTGACACAAGCAGACACCGCACTTCAGGCAGGAACATACATGCTAGACAAAGGGGACCATAAACGGCCCTGTTTTGTGCCATCAGACTTCTGGGAGATGATCCTTTTAGTCCGCACGTAAGGTGTGTCTTGCCACAGTGTGTTCATTGAGAAATACACTGAGGCAAACCACAGACATGACAGTCAGAGAGCTAGTGCTGTAGGGAAGAGACCTGCAGGGGCAGAGCACGCAAGCACCCTACCCTATAATCAGTCATCGAGTTACTGCACCCCATCAGTAAAGCACTCTTGAAGTGCAAATGACCCAGGTGTTGACCTGGAAATCATAATGTAGGTTAAGCAACATGTTAGTACCGATAACCATGCCAATACCATTAACCATCTGTTGTTTTCCCATGCCCCTGGTCAAGATATCAATATGAATAGAAGTACAGCGCTGCTGGGGTGCTCCTTGTCCCCACTCTGGAGACCACTAGTGTGAAACATGCAAATCTGTCGCAGAGGTGTTTGTGAACACCAGAGCAGCAGGCCCCGTGTACACTCGAGAAGCAACTCCGCAGCACCTGGGTGATGGATGGCACGCCATTGCCTAGGGCCAAATCCAGCCACAGGCGCTGCATCTGGCAGTGCCTGGTTCACACTTTGCCCATGACATTTTCACACAGCAACTGCCGCACTCCGAGCTAAAAGAGACTGTACCCAACAAAACTGTAAACAGTACTATCTGCTCCCCTGGAAGGAGTTTGCCGTTCCATACCTGAAAACGGGAAATCGCTAAAAGGTCCAAGCAAAGGGGAAGAAAACCAGGATGCCCTTCTACAGGGAGCATCAGGGGGTGAGACCAAAGTACTCCACTACCTGAGGACCAAGAGGGACTGACCTCATGTGGGCTGGGGACACTATGAGCAGGCTCTATGGCATGACCAGAGCTGGGCACATGCCAACGTAGGAAGCCAGCAATAAACACCCACTCACCAGCACAGGAGGCTAAGGCAACAACCTGCAATGCTGAGCTCAACGAATCTGTGGAGAAAAGGGGTAAAGGCAGCTATCCTGGCAAGTGAATATTTGGTCTCAAAGGAGAGAGAATGGTAATGGGAGATGGTACCTGAGAGCAAACGAGGAAGTCTCTAAACTGACCTGGAATGAGCTCTAGGTCGCACTGTGAAGGGGGGAAAAGGCGCAATGATCTCCACAGGGTAAGATCACGTAAGAAAGGAGGAGATGACAGAAGACACACACAGTAAGGGCCAACCAGGAATTAGTAACTTGTCACCTTCAGGAGGAGGACAGAGGGAGAAAACAACGGGGTGGGGGAAGGGCAGAGGAGAGAGGGCAAAGGCATTTCAGTACACAGATTCCAGTACACAGATTCCAGTACACAGATTTCTGTACACAGGTTTCAGTACACAGATTTCACCACACAGGTTTCAGTACACAGATTTCACCACACAGATTTCAGTACACAGATTTCAGTACACAGATCCAACTCGGCCCCCCCCCCCCCCCCCCCGCAACCCAAGTAAGTGAAATAAACAGGCTATGGAGGGGAACTACAAATAAGACAGACAGCAGCCACCTGTCTGGACAAGAAGTCAAGAGTGCAGTGACAAAACAGAGGAGTCCCAGGAAGGACAAGGGGCAGTCAGGATGTGCTCCACAGGGTAACTAACTGTGCTCCACAGGATAACTAACTGTGTGCTCCACAGGGTAACTAACTGTGCTCCACAGGGTAACTAACTGTGCTCCACAGGGTAACTAACTGTGCTCCACAGGGTAACTAACTGTGCTCCACAGGGTAACTAACTAACTGTGCTCCACAGGGTAACTAACTGTGCTCCACAGGGTAAGCAGCCACTGAAAGGTCATGAGAGACAAGGACCACCCCAGACTGCAAGAGGCCATGGAGACCTGTTATGATACGGCACTTGAGAGGCCTTGGCGGGTAGAGCCAAGATGACCCATGGCGGGTGAGAGACAGAGACGCCCCACAGACAGTGTGCAGTGGAGAGTTTTGTTTGGTGAAGGAAAGAAAAAGGGGAGAGGGAAAGAGAGAGAGAAAAGGGGGGGAGGTGGGCACCACCTCACGGAGGGGGGAAGAGAGAGAGCCGAGGGGGAGCAGTCCCTTCTTAAAGGGAACAGGAACATAGGATGATGTCAGGACGCTGGGCAGGCCAGGGTATTATCTGCTTATTGGCCAGGATTCCAAGAAGTGGGTGTGAATGCTAACAGACACGACAACCAAATGTAGCCCTGGACCCCTGAACTGCAGACAGTCAGTCCCGTCTACACTGCTGTCCGTACAGTACCAGGACTGATTGACAGTTTTTCCTGGTCCTGATCACTGCACTTCGGTACGGACAGGCCAGTAGTGCAGTGTGGGGACGTGTGCAGAAAAACTGTCTGTGACTGGTTGGTACTTACGCTTGTCGGAAATCCTTCTGAAATGCAGTGACAAGACTTGGGCATCCCCCAGCTCTGCAGAAGCCCACATGCTCCCTGAGCCCGAGGCCTGCCACACGCTCCACCTCACGCATAGCTATTGCGGGTCCCTGAGTCCTTTCCTCACCTTGCCACACATCTGCACATACGCAGCACGGCATCTTTCCTTCAGGATGGCGTACCTCTCTCCTAGAGGTAAGTTTACTACCCATATTAAAGGTTGTCTATGAACCACTCCCTCCAAAATAAGCTCCCTGGTAATGAACAGTACTTTATAATTTCCATTACAGCCTAGGCAAGATGGTGACTATATAGCTCTTGATAACCAGAAAGGGTAACCGCAAAGAATGGTAGAAGGAAAAGGCCAGCGAGAGTCGGATGAGGAGAGCTGACTCGTGAGTCCATGCCACACAGACAGACTCAGCTGCCCTTAACAGCATACAGCCCACAGCAGGAGAGATGTTCCCTGTGGGAGAGACTGAATGGTGTCGTCGTCGTAACAAAAGACAAAAAACATATTCTGGTGACTCAGGTCAACTTTATGCACTCTGGGAAGAAAACAAAGGAAAGCCAAAAAGAAAAGGAGACGCCTCGCTGCAAGGAGCACAGGGGTGGAGAGGCAGAGAGAGAGAGGCGTGGCCACAGCCCCCACTTTCACATGGAGGGAGCCCCACAGGTGATGTGCAGACAGGGCTCTGCTCCATGAACGCACAGCCTGGAGGATAGAGAGGAGGGACAGGAATGGGTCCTACAAAAGCCCTGTTCCTAGTCTCAAACAACATGAAGAACTAAGGATCATTTAAATGGGAAGGGACCGGTTCAAAGTAAAATCTGGTGCATGATCTGGAAACTAGAGGCACAATACTACCCTTCTGCACTGGGGCTCAACATGGCTGAAGCCTGCTTCCCAGGGCATAGTACACAGCTTGGCACAAATGTCTGGCTGTTGCAGTTCAGTGGGATGTGACCGGCTTCTGGTAAAGGGACACAGGGCAAGGGATGGTAGGTGTGTGGTATGTCCCAGTGTGTGGAACATCCTTACAGAGAAGAGGTGCCCCAGGTCTCATGTCACTTTCTAATGTCCTGGTCATAGCAGCGGCAAATCTGTTTATCATGAGCTGAACCTTGCCTAGATGTCAATCACAGGAAAGCCACGCCTCCACCAGCTTGAGCTCCACAAGGGCAGAGGTGTTAGCTTTTGCCAAACGACAGGTACAGCATCTGGTGCAGTGTCTGATACCTAACAATATGGTCGATACACAGCGCTTGGTACATAACATGATTGACACACAGCTGTTAAACGAAAAGTCTGGAGGGGCAGGGACTAAGGAAAAGTAGAAAACTGGCCCTGCTAAGTCAAACGTAGGATGCTGAACTTTTTCCTGTAAGTATGTGGACCTGCTGGGGCAGCTCCGGCACTGAGACATTAGACGGGTATTGCTACAAGACAAATGTAAGCACACACCTGAGAAAGGTGGGCAGACCATTGAAAACTCTATCATGATGATTCTGAAGACAGGAACTGAGCAGGGGAAGTAGGGCCAGAGACCTGATGCTCATGATACTTAGCAAGACTTGACAATTGCCTGTGACTAGAAGCAAAGAACAGGAGACTTAACACATACTCATTTTCTCCCCCCTCTCTCCATTTGAGGCAGTTTCACACTGTAGCCCAGGCTGGCCTTGATCAACAGCAACTCTCCTGCGTTACCTTCCTGAGTGCTGGAATCACACGTATAAGCTGCCACATCTGGCTTTGTGCCTCATTTTCTTTCGAGCCTGTATAACTGAAGGATTAGTGACATTGGCAGGGACTGATGAGGAAGAAGCACACTGAGCAGACAGATGTCAACATCATTTCTTTTCTGCACAGCAGGACTGCAGGTGCCTTTCGGAGGACCCTTGCAGAGAAGAACAGCAAAAATCCCACCCTGAGATTCTTAGAGGAAGAAGATTGCAGAGCTCAAAGGGCTACAAGTGAAGACGCTCAGTGAGAGGAAAAGAGTCGTATGAAGGCTACAAACAGTCAGAATGCATCTGAGGAAGGGATGGTCACACTGCCAAGTGCAACAGAGTTTGGGGAAGCAGAGTGGAAATGTTATTGGGTTTGAAAGTGTGAGATCTGGTCACTAATTCTGATCCCAACAGGGGTAGAAGGCATGGAGTGAGTTGACACTAGATAAGTAAGTGAAATAGTTTTACCACAGGATCGAAAGTCAAACTGAGCCCTGGATACCTGTTTTAAAAGTAGAGCTGAAACACTCAGGAGGCTGCAGGAGAATTATCAGTTTGAGGCCCATCTGGGCTTTATAGTGAGTATTCTTTTCTCTCTCCCTCCTCATCCCCCCCCCCCGCCAAAAAAGAAAAAACTACTAAAAAGAAATAGTAACAGGGCATCATTTGAGGCACATGCAACCCGTTTATTCTAGGTTTTATCACCACACCAAGGAGAGTGAGCAGAAGGCTGTCTATGCCCCTGAGAACAGACTGGAGACATCTGAAATCACGAGGCCTTGCCAAGGTGTAAATCACAGGAAACCCACAGCTGTTGTTGGTAAAGCTGACTTGGCATCCTCTGCTCAAAGATTCTCTAAAAACATGTTTGTAAACAAATGACAAAAAACCATGGTAACAGCCTATTTCCTATCACTTGGGTCTTTCTTGTACAACCGGAACAAACCTACAGGGATGTATAACTTCTCTTTATTTTTCAAGACATGTTTTCTCTATGTATCCCTAGCTGTTCTGGAACTCTATAGACCAGGATGGTCTGGAACTCAGAGATCCACCCGCCTCTGCCTCCCAAGTGCTAGGATTAAAGTCATGCAACACCATGCACCGAAATAATTTCTGTTTATTGAAGTTCGTTTTTCTGGTATTGATCTGATTCCCTTATTTTCCTTGATGCTGAATTTTATATATTCCTATCATTTTATCTGAGTATATACATTGCAAATCTATGACAAGCCGCTGCCCAAGATGGGAGGTGACTCTCTCAGTGACTTACCTGGAAACTGTCCATTTTCAGGTACTCTCAAGGGCCAGGGATGGTGATCGAAGGGCTGGGTGAGGAAGAATGGGGAATAGAATCAGCAGACTGACAGCTCTTAGTGACTCACAGACACACCATGGAAGGAAAGGACCCTTTGACCAGTATTGTACAGGAAACAACTGCTTGAGGGAATGCCCACTAGTAGCTCTGAATGGACCAGTCAGAACTTTTCTTACTGTGTGAATGGAAACAAAGGTGTTAAACTGAATTATTGTCTTACTTAAGCCTCCTTAAAAAAACAAACAGCACTTATGAGCGGTCCAGCAAGAAAGCAACTCTAAGATTAAGATATTAATTACTTTTTGGCGTCACTTACCTATTTTCCTGCTGATGCATTCAGCAGATGAAGTCAGCAAACCCAGACAGAAGGAGTAAGGGTTTTAAGATGATCACCACTCTGCTCCCCTCCCCTGACCTTAACTGCAGTTTCATGAGAGGCCTCTGCTTAAATGTAGTAGAGGACAAAGGCCTGACCTGGCAATCAACAGAATTAAATTCTTGACTCTGTCACCAGCAAACTACCTAAATGGTTAACATAGCTGCCTTGCTGATTTGAAAAGAAGTTTAAATATCTCCCAAACCTTCTCTGTAGGTACACTGTGTCGTCATTCTATATGAAGGGAGTCAATAAACCCTGGGGTGGGGATGGACGTGGTTTGAGCAACTCAGGCGAAACGGAATGGAGACTCAAAGAAACGACATGGGTTTGTTCGAAGTGATGGAGAGACCGTGTCCTAGCCATGGCTGGCATCCCTTCCCTCCAAACGACAGACCCTCCAATGAAACGCCATTCTGCCTAATATGGACCTGCTCATCCCCTCGAAGATTTACTGGTCCAAGGGCATCCGCAGGACTTACTGCGATCCTGTTTTTGCACGCGCACACACACACCTCTCCTTCCCAGGATGCCCGCCCCGAGGCCTGCAGCCCGGTGACGTCCGCCCGGCCGCTGGACACCTGCGAGCCTCCGCGGGCCCCGGGCGGGCTCCGGTTCCTCCGATCCTGCCCCGAGCTCACTACCCGGTCTTTCTCTGGCTCCCGGGAATCCTCGCTCCTCCTACAGTTCCCAGGAGGCTCCGAGGAACCCTAAGAGCAGTGGGAGCCTCGCCTGGAAGAGCTCGGAGAACCGGAAGCGCGTCCTTCGAGGCTAGGAGACGGCGCGTGCGCAGAGCCTCGGTGCCGCCATTCCCACGGTTTGGAGAAAGGCGCTTGCAGTCTGTCGGGGACTACATTTCCCACAAGGTGCTGCGACCTCCGCCCAGCCGATTTCCTCTCAGTCGCTTGAGTTTAATCAATGGGCTGTGAAACGTAGTACAAAAGGAACTGTGAATAAGAAAAATTACAGACCTGGAAAGAAATTCCAACAGTGTATTAAAAAAAAAAAGATAACGATTAAAGAGTTCTCTCAGAATGAAAAAATAATGGCGAGCTTCCCAAAATTACAGAAAACACCTAATAATTAAAGATTAATCAAACCGTCTCTAAATGTCTTAAAATAATAGCTGTACTGCTTACTCCTAGCTGTCTGAGTTTATCAACAGGTGCATACTTTTCTGCCACTTTTACAGTAGGGGAAATCACAATAATTAACGACAAAATATTTTACCAGTATACTTCTTTCAACTGTTTTATTTTACATGTGTGTGTATATTGCCTGCATGCATGTCTCTCCATCACTTGTGTGTCATGACAGGTGCTTGAGGAGGCCAGAAGAGGGTACCATGTGGGTGCTGGGAATTGAACCCGGATCCTCTGGAAGAGCCACCAGTGCTCATAACCACTGAGCCATCTCTCCAGCCCCATAACGATATAGTTTAACAGCACCAATTACATATAATGCAAGAAATGTAGAAACTAGACCTTCGTCCATGGGGACAAATTGTATACACACATACATATTAAAAGTGTAAAGCTATGGAATATGTTTTCCTCGCTGGAGGGCCTGGAGGTTTCTGACACAGTTATCTGTTATCATTAATACCAAAAGGAACACCAAGGTTTGGAGGCTGAGAGTGAGCCAGACTTCCAGGGATTCAATGCTTGTATATTGGCTCCCACATTGAATGTGGCTGTGTCGTGATTTTAAACAAAGGGGACATCAGAAGGGACACCACCGGTTTTAAAAAAACCAACCTGTGACATCCAGGCAGTCAGGTTTGTCTTCAATGTTCCTAGAGCCTGTGCAAGACTTTAAATTACCTAGTTACCAGAGACCAAGCAGAAATCAAAAGAAGCAGAGAGGAAACGTGGAGAAACAGGCGAATCCTTCCCAGCAACCCAGCATGTCTCACCTTCCAGGCATCCTTGTCACAACTTCAGACTCAAGAAGTGAGCCCTGTATGCAGTCAAGTCCTTGGGTGGTCTCACTGCAGAGAATCATGTGAAGCAGAACCATACAGGCAATACCAGTAAACGTACAGCAAAAATGAAATAACCAATGTCATCATTTTAAGCCACCGAGTTTTGAGGGTAGTTTTTTATGGAGCAATAAATAACATGGTGGGCCTTGGAGATGATTCAGTGGGTAAAGGCACTGCCAACAAGCCTGATGACCTCAATTAGATCCTAGGGACCCACATGGTGGAAGGAGAGAACTGGCTCCTGAAAGCTGTCCTCTGAGCTCCACAGGTGTGCTCTGGCCTTCTCACAGTGGCATGTGTGCGCGTGTGTGTGTGTGTGTGTGTGTGTGTGTGTGTGTGCACGCACACGCACACACACACACACACATATCAAGCAAATAAATAAAGTTTTTTTAGAAAAAGAAAACCGGAATGTCTTTGGGGAAAGATGGATTTCAAAAGCAAATGTATGAGGGAAATACTGTCAGTGTCTATATGTAATAAATGTAGAAATGGACTCAATTTATTAAAAATGCTTTTAGAAACTGTTTAAAATTAGTATCTTAATTATTTTTAAAAGGTGGAGTAAGGTATGAACAAGAAAATTAATTAGAAGATTTGGAAATGAATTAACCATATATGTGTGTGAATATATATATATATATTATATATATATATATAATGGCCAATCACACTATAGGTCAAAGAAGTGAAACAATATTTTTAAAATTACATACATTTTTTGCAAACTAGCTCGGTAAGGATAAAAAGAAATCAATTTGGTCAGGGAATTGGGAAAATGCTCCTTGTCAGGATGAGTAGGGTGGTCGTTCCTGTCACGTTTCTGGAACACATTCTGCACCCAAACTGGAGGCCACATGCCTTTTATTCTAACACTTCAGGAGAATCTTAAAGAAATAACTGAACTTGTGTATAAAGGTATGTAGCAACATTCCCAAAATGTTTTGTTTTAATTTTGAGCCAGAGTTTCACTATGCAGCCTGGGCTCCCTTCAATTTAGGATCGCCTGTCTCTGCCTCCCGGGGATTAGTATCTGAACAGTGATGGAGTGATGCAGTTTCCCACAGTGACCACTAGATGGCAGAAGACTCCCCTGCCAACTTTTCTGGGAGGCTCGTCATGAACTTCATTGGCTAGGAAGGCCTGTGTGTGAAGTCTCAGTAACCGAGGGGGCTCAGTCAGGAAGGCCTGATGACAGCGCGCCCTAGGAAGGCTCTAACTCTTCCTGATACTTCAGACAATGTATCCAGCTTCTGTTAATGTGAGTCAAGTGATTTGTGGGGATTTTTTTTTCTAGCCACGTGAAACTGGCACCTTGTTCTGAAAATACTTGTCCACTGAGGACCACCACAACCTTTACTCAAGAATGCCATACATGCTCTCCCAGGCTAGGCACTGTGCAGCACCAGAGGACCCACCGATTTCCATTGTATGAGAAGAACCCACTAGACAGAGCTTTGCCCGACCTGTAAAACTGTCAAGATCATCTACAAAGTGATGGCCCGTCTTTTTCCTAGCCAAGGTATATGTCATGAATCAGAACTTGAACCCTGAGCAGAATGGGAGACTGATTCATTCAGGCATGGATGCTGTAAAGCCTGCCTGTGATTCCTGCTCATGGATCTCCAGGGCTCTGCTGATTCTGGACCTTCCCAACACCTACAGCTTGCCTTTTCAGTCATTCAGAGATACTTTCTGTTATCGGCAAACAAGGCGCCCCTGTGAGTCAGTCTACACTTCAGATTTGCTAAGACAGGAGCCAGAGCCGGGCGCTGGTGGCACACGCCTTTACTCCCAGCACTCGGGAGTCAGAGCCAGGTGGATCTCTGTGAGTTTGAGGCCAGCCTGGGATACAGAGTGAGATCCAGGACAGGCACCAAAACTACACAGAGAAACCCTGTCTCGGGAAAAAAAAAAAAAAAAAGACAGGACCCAGATCTGTGTGAGAGGGTCTGTGTTAGGAGGAAGGCAAGTCTCCATTCACCATACCACTTACTCATCCGATTGACATTTGGGAGACCTGTTCTGTGCCCAGTCCTGCTGTAGTCCATTTGTTTATTTGTTATGATATTCTGATTTAATCTTTGGGAATTTCATGGGTATATACAATGTATCACAAATCCAATTAGTGTTGCCAGTAAGAGCACGGTGTGGGGCCATCTACTGGAGTGTGGGCAACCCCCAGGAGCCACACCCCCAAAAGAAAAAGGACTCCCCCACCCCAGGAGCCATTGGCTGCTAATAGCTCCTCCTCCACTAGGGGTGAGGCCTTGTGTGCCCCTCCCCAGTCCATTCCAGGATGTTGATAGGCTTGTTCTGTATAGGCAACCACAACAGCTGTGAGTTCAGGAATGCAATGCAGTTATTTACCGTGTGTGTGTGTGTGTGTGTGTGTGTGTGTGTGTGTGTGTGTGTACATTTGGAGGGCAGAGGTCAACCTCAGGGGAGTTGGTTCAAACTTGCGAGTGTTTGGAATAGAGCTCATGTTGTCCCAAAATGTCCCTCTGCTTCCCACAGAACTGTCTAGATATTGTAAGGTCCCTGAAGTGACTGGTCTGTGTGCCCCAAATTCAGATGCTGATATCCTAGCTCCACAAGTAATGGTGTCAGGAGGCGGGTCTTCAGGGATTCCTGTGGTAAGGCCTCCATGGATAGGTTAGTGGCCAGTGAAAGACACCTTCAATCGCTCAGTTATCCTGTGGAACTCAGACTGGCAGCCACAAGTCTGTTTATCTAGTCTGAACTTATTCTCCTTTTCATTTTTAATACTACTGGATGTACTTAATTCAGAGAAATTATATTAAATATAATAATCTGAGTCTATACCTGAAAGGAAAATATCTAAACTTTCCCCCTTTCTTTCTTCCTTCCTTCCTTCTCTTTTCTTTTCCCTGTGTGCACAGTTTGTGTATGTATGTGTGTGCGCACATGCACACACATGAGCCTGTGAGCACCTCTGGGAAGACGCAGGGCACAGCATGCATGTGGAGGTGAGAGGACAGCCTCCGGCCTTGGTCTTGCCCTTCCCCCTGATTGAGGCTGGCTCTCCCTTCCTCTGCTCTGTATTCTGGGCTAGCTGTAATTCTAGCATGTGGGAGGTGGAAGCAGTAGGATCAGGAAGTTTAAGGTTGTCCTTGCCTGCACAGTGAGTTTGAGGGCAGCCTGGGCTACATGAGACCCTATCCCAAGACAAAATAAATAAAGAAAGGGGAAAGAAAAGAAATGACGCCATCATAGTTACTTTCCTATTGCTGTGATAAAACACCTTGACCAAGGCAATTTATAGAAGAAAAAGTTCACTTGGGACTTAAATTTCCAAAGGGTTAGGGTCCATAACCATCATGACGGGGAGCATGGCAGCAGACAGACAGACAGGCATGGTGCTGGAGCAGTAGCTGAGAGCTCACAGCTTCATCTACAAGCATGAAGCAGAGAGAGTTTACTGGGAATGGTCTGAGTCTTTTGATACCTCAAAGTCCACTCCCAGTGACACACCTCCTTCAACAAGGCCACACCTCCTAATCCTTCCCAAACAATTCTACCAACTGGGGACCAAGCATTCAAATATACAGGCCTATGGGGCCGTCCTCTCTCAGATCACTGCAGATGCCAAAGAGTCTGTTGTAGCCACAGTCATAGCGATGTGGTTCATCACCTGTGTTTATTATGGTACTGATGCTGTGAAAATAGATATGAGCCTCGGGTTTTCACAATATACAGGCTTTGGGGCTACTTCTCCTTACATTTCCCATCCTGTTTTCCCTCATACTCTCCCTCTCCACAGAGCCAGCTCAGAACACTTGATTCTCACTGAAATTTGTCATTTTATTATTATTTTACTATGGGGAACTCAAGGCCATGCATGGCTAACCAGAGGCCAGGTTCATAACCACATGTCACTGGATACTAAACAAATGTGTCCCTTCTCAGAAATTCAAAATTAAGCATTGTTGAACAAATTCCTAATGTGTCTTAAAATAATAAACCCAGAGCTAGATATTGGGATAAATGCTGAGAGATCAGAGAGACAAAGGAACAAGCCACTGCCATGTCTCACCTCGCCAACTCCACAAATCCTCTGAATGAATGTCTCTAAGTCCTTTAGTTCCTGTCTCCTCACACCTTATATACCTTTCTCTGCCCAGCCATATCACTTCCTTCTTAGTGCTGGGATTAAAGGCGTGTGACTCCCAAGTATTGGGATTAAAGGCATGTGCCACCACTGCCTGGCTCTGTTTCTCTCCTAGACTGAGTCAATCTCATGTAGTCCAGGGTGACTTTGAACTCACAGAGATCCAGATGGATCTCTGCCTCCTGAGTGCTAGGATTAAAGGTGTGTGCCACCACTGTGTAGCTAGAGTTTTCCTGCCTTGCCCACAGTCAGGACAAATCTTTGTCACCCGCCAGTCCCACAGCTGCTCAGACCAGACCAAGTAAACACAGAGACTTATATTGTTTACAAACTGTATGGCCGTGGCAGGCTTCTTGCTAACTGTTCTTATAGCTTAAATTAATCCATTTCTATACCTTGCCACATGACTCGTGGCTTACTGGCGTCTTCACATGCTGCTTGTTCTGGCGGCAGCTGGCAGTGACTCCTTCTGCCTTCCTGTTCTTTCTTTTCTCCTCTCTATTAGTCCCGCCTATACTTCCTGCCTAGCCATGGGCCAATCAGTGTTTTAAGTATTGAACAATCAGAGCAACACATTTGCCATACAGAACATCCCACAGCACCACTGCCTGGCATCTATGTTTAATCTAGTGGCTTGTTGTGTTCTCTGATCTGCAGGCATATTTTACTAGGGTACACTACATATCACCACAGAGCATCTTGTGGTTTTATTTACTAAACTTGGTAAGTCTAGACAGAAAGGCCCCAAAGGAACAGGAAATAGCAAAAGTATTTACTCTTATACTTAATAAATATACTCATTTATAAACTCAAACTTTTCGATTACTGTAAATTCTGAGGATTCAGAGACTTCTAAGTCAGAGGAGTGCTGAGGTAAACCCACAGGCAGAATCTCCATGTGGATGTTACCAGGTCATTTCTCCATCTAGCGGGAAGGAACTGAGCTGTCCTGGTCCTCCCAGGCTTCCCAGCCTCTTGACTGCGCAGGCGCCTTCCCTACTCTTCCATGCCTTCCGCTCGCCATGATTTCAGCACATCCCACGTGAAAAGCAGATCAAGGTTGCCATGCACGTTCATCATGTAGATACGGAAAGCGAGGCTCCGAGACTTGCAGTGACCTACCCAAGGTCACACGGAGGCCAAAGAGGGGCCAAGCGACTGAGGTCCCTGTGACTCCGGAGCTCTCGTCCCCTGCACGGCTTCCCTGGGTTCCCAGGTGCCCATGGTGCAGGCCTGTCTGTCCAGGCGGTCACTCCGGTCGTGTCTCCTCTGGAGCCGGTCCTTCAAGTGGCTAACCCTCCTGGCTTCCTGGGCCGGGAAGAAGGAGGCTGCGATGGCATGCCGCAGGCGCCAAGCGTAGGCCTGCAGCACTAAGGTGGCACCCGCCAGCAGCTGCAGGGCGCCCGCGGCCAGCGCGACCGTGACGCGGGGCGGCTGAGCCCGAGGCAGGTGGCAGTCGTGGGGCAAGGAGTACAGCTCCCACTGGAAGGAGCGCTGTGCCGAGGCAAACACGCTCTCCACCGGAGGCTGGTTGAGGACGAAGTGGATGAAGTCTAGGAGTTTATAGGAGGCCTTCACAACAGAAAAGGATCGAGTCAGAGGTGCCATCAGGCCGTCCCCATCCCTGCCACCTACAGAATGGGTTGAGAGAGGGGCAACTGTGACTCGGTAGCCACAAACCCGGCGCCACACAAATGTTACCTCTGTTATTCTTACTACCTTTGAGTAAAGTATTTTAGAGAAAACTAAAGCTGGGGTTGGGTGTATCAATGACTAGCGTGTAGGAAGCCCTGGGTTCCACCCAATCACTGGGTATACCGGGAGCAGTGGTGCACGCTTTTAATCTCAGCACTCAGGAGGTAGTGGCAGGTGGATCTCTGTGAGTTCAAGACCAGCCTGTTCTACATTACTGAACTGCAGGTCACTCACTATTTATAGTGAAACCCTGTCTTTTTTTGTTTGTTTGTTTGTTTTGGTTTTTCTGAGACAAGGTTTTTTCTGTGTAGCTTTGGAGCCTATCCTGAAACTCGCTTTGTAGACCAGGCTGGCCTCGAATTCACAGAGATCCGCCTGCCTCTGCCTCTCGAGTGCTGGGATTAAAGGAGTGTGCCATCACCGCCCAGTGAAACTCTGTCTTAAACAACAACAACAACAAAAAAAAAAAAAAAAAAAAAAAAAAAAAAAAAAAAAAAGCAGAAACAGCCCCACCCATCAATGCTTTGGGTGTTGTGATGGTCTGTCAGTTTGATGGGATTGTCTGCAAGGCACAGAGTGAGTGTGTCTGTGAAGGTGTTCCCAGGGAGGATCAGATCATGGGGGCTCCGTACCAATCCATGATTCGATTCTTTGATGGGTCTACAACACAAAGGCCTTTTGGGAAGGAGGTGAGAAGGGAGGCGTGCCCAGCTGGAGGAAGCAGTCACGGGGTGGGGGTGTGTGGAGGTGGGTGGGGGTGTGTACCTGGGGGCTGTACCCTGCCCTGGCCCCTCCCTGTGTTTCATTCTGTTTTCCTCTTCTCCATGTCTCCATATCATGGCTATGACACCTAGGAGTATCCAAGGATGATGACTCAGAGAACCGAACAGACCCCTCCCGCCGTGCACTTACGTCATACTTCACTGTGAGTGTGATGGGGACAGTGGGCAGCTTCTGAGCCCAGGCCACAGCTGCCTGCGCCAGGAGGAAGGCCCCATAGTCTGTGGCCACTGTCACAGCCGTAGCTGCTAGGAGCAGTGCCAGTAGTCCCAGCCTGAGGAGGCAGCTCAGCACCTCCTCACGCGACAGCTTTGGCTGGGCCGCTTGGAGCAGCCAGGGAGGTGGAGAGGCCAGCAGATGTGTGGCACCAGCCTGGGCCAGCTGCTGAACCAGCTGCCGAGTGGCATAGATATTGTCGAAGCGCAGATCAGTGAGGTAGCGGTGAAGGTACCAGGCAGACTCGCCCAGGAGGCCCAGCATCAACAGCCCGGTGACTACCCGCTGAACCCCCAGGGCTGCCTGAGCCAGGAACTCCAGGCCAGAGAAGTCCTCCAGGATCTGCTGAGTGACCGTGCGCATGTGAAGGCGGAAGACCGAACCGTTGCCCTGTGCCTCAAACGCCAGGCTCCGGCCGCCAGCATGGCCGACTGTGCCCAGTGCCTGGGATGCCAGGCGCAGCTGATAAGTGGTGTTAAGCAGACTCTCCAACGAGCCCTTAGTAACACAGCTCAGCACTCGCCCAGCGGCACCCACGTTGGCTAAGACATTTGGCACCACAGCAACAGCCAGGTTGGCCACACTGTAGGACAGGAGTAGCCGGCGGCCCTGCTCGGAGCCCAGGGTAGGCACACTGAGCGCAAATAGGCAGCGTATGGGGGGCACCAGGCCCAGGCTCAGGAAGACCAGGAGACCACAGACAGTGGTCACCAGGGCAGGGGGTCCCCGAGGATAAAGCTGCGAAGAGATCAGCCAGTGATGAACCAGGCCTGCGGTGACACTAGCCAGGGAAACACACAGGAGCAGCTGAATCAGCAGGTCACCGCAGCTGGCTGGGACAGGCTGGGAGAAGGCTTTCCAGGCCCTCTGCAGCGGGACAAGTGCCTTGCCGATTCCCAAGCGCCAGAACTTCCACCTGCACACAAGGAAACAGGGGAGTCCCGTGTCAGGAGGGTGCGGGTCTGCCCCGCCAGCCAGGCTGCTAATAGACTCTACTCCTAGAACCACAGGGATAAGCAACTATCCAGAGAGACCAATCAGAGGCATTCCGTCCATGGGGGTGGGCGTAACACAAGCGGAACCAATCAGAGCCTTCCCCAGAAGTCTACAGGGCTGTCAGTCAACAGCCTAACATCCCTGCAATACTTGAGGATGTGGGCTAGGTGTCCGGACTGTGGCCACGGTCGCGGGCTCTCAGAGCCGCGGGTAAGTAGTGGAGGGAGGAGAAGCGTGGCTGACGGAGAGAATGCAGTAAAAGGAGAGAACGAGAGGGGGCAATGTTACCCTCCCTCCCCCAACACAGTCGGTGTGGCTCACTGGTGGTCCCCCCATTCATACTCTTTACAGATCTCAGTGTCCCCTCGTCATTTACAGGCAAGGAGGTGGCGCAGTCGGCCTCTTAGGGACCTTTTCTCTTCAACCAGCCTTATATTAGTCATTGAAATGACATTTCTTTATTTTTTATTTATTGTGTAAATTTGCGCCTGCATGTCAACATACGTGTCTACATTATTCATTCTGCACCTTAATTTTTTAAATCACATTTTAATTTTGTGTGTAGGTGCTTGCATGCCTCTGTGTATGTGTGGGTGTGCACATGTGTGTGTACACACGTGCTCGTGTGTGTGTATGGGTGATTGCATGCCTCTGTGTGTGCGTGTGTGTTTGTGCATGCATGCGTGTGAGTGTGTGTTTGTGCATGCATGCGTGCATATGTGTGCGTGTGTGTAGAAGTCAGAGGACAACTTTCGAGAGTCACAGGATGTCTTACTTCCAGGATCTGCTTCTCCCCTTCTATCACGTGGGTTTTAAGGATTGAACTTGGGTCTCCCAACTCAGTGTCAGGCACTTTCACTGACTGAGATTTCTCACAGGCCCATCCCATTTTTCTGAGACACGGTCTCTCATTGGCCCGGTGCTCACCACGTTACCTAAACTGGCTGGCCAGAAGCCCCCGGGAGCTGTCTCCACCTCCCAGTGCTGGATCGCAGGTGTGTGTGTGTTCTCTCATACCCAGGCTTTCTCACATGAGTCCTGGGCACTGAAATCAGGTCCCCGAGCCTGTGCAGCGGGCACGTCCCTGAGTAGTCTGTCTCTCCGGCCCTCAGGGAATATTTCTTCAGCAATTACCGTGAGCTCAGCGTTGGAGACACACCAACTCTGAACTCCTCGGTGTTCACACTAGTGACAGCAGGAGGGAGGTCACACCACAGCTGGATTCAGGGGTCAAAATGAAACATGAACTTCTGGCTTCTCACTGCTGGGTGGAGCGAGACATCCAGGGCCTCCCGGGCTGCACGTCAGAGGGCGCCCCCTACAGGTGCTTGTCACTGAGTCCTACACCTGTACCCCCTTCCTGGTCCCTGAGGACACTGAGGGGTTGGGACTACACACACTACACACAGCATGGTTAGTTTTGGAACAGGGAACTGAAATAATATCGAGGAACATAAATGCTCTTAAGAACTGGAAGCCATGTCAGGTACTCAGCAGGATATTACCAACAGCAGGGGTGACACTCTCTCTCTCTGAGCCGCATCCTCTGCACACCCCTCATTCTGTTCCCACACAGCCTTACAGCCATTGCTATCATTTCCATTCTGCAGGAGGAACCCGAGGCCTAGAAAGGTGAGGATTCATTGGCGGTCACAGCCAGCGGGTGAGGGCAAGGCTTGAGACCGGAGCTCACGCCCATTGCGGGGGGCTGCTGACTTTTCTTGCACATCCCTTGTGTCCCACTCCCCAGACCTACCCCAACCTGAGGAGGTGTTCCGTGGCTCCTCTGTTGTCCCTCATGGTCTTTGAGAGCTGTGTTCAGGCAGCTGCCGTGGCAGCCACGGCAGGTCGAGAGGAAGTGTGGGGACCGGAGAGTCCGGTCGCTTCTTCTTCTTTCCCTTTAAACAAACCCTCCTGGCTGCCTCATCCTGCCCTTCAGAGGCCCACCTCTTGGGGGCTGGGCCAGCTGCCTCATCCTCTCCTGAAAGGCAGTCAGGAGCAGACAGGGGTGGGAGGAGACATATTTTCCAAGCATTGCCTGTGATCTTGAGGAAGGTAGAATTAGCCCATTTCACAGAGGAAGAAATTGAGGTTCAGAGAAACCATGCAGCTCATTAACAGTAACACCAGACTAAGAACTCCACTCTGCTTCCCTGTCCCTTCTCCCATGGTTAAGCCCCCCAGGAGAATCCAGTCCCTGACTCTGGGGATAAAAATCCACAGGAGTCCCACAGGGACCTTTGCTAAGGCTACACTGTGCTGTTCTTAGCCACCATGTACAGCCATGGAAAGGGAATAATAAATGCAGACTGCTTTGAAAACAGTAGGTGCTCAATAGGTGCACATGTCCCCATGGTGATTGCCCAGAAAGTGTAACTCTAGGCCATTCAAGCTCATTCCCACCTGGCATGCAGAGCTCTCTCCCCAGCATCAATCACCATCACTGTCTACACCAGGACTCTGTCCCCAAGAGGCCTCCTCCGTCATGGGATGTCATTCCCCCCCACCCTGCAAGGGACGTGATTGACAACCAGTCATCTTCCCTTATAAGGATATCCTGCTGGGCCACAGGCTAAGGCCTATAGGGGAAGTGAGTTCACATAGCACATAACTGAAGGAGACCTGCAACCAGACCCTCAGAGGGCCGGCCATGAGCCCCTCCAGGAAGCCAGGAGACTTCCCAGGCACCAGCTCCCCATCCAGCCCCCAGAAAAGCCTTGGCACACAGTAGAGCCCAGAAGCAGCCAATGCTCAGGCTTTATGGGTCTGCTACTCTCTGAGTTCACATCCTGTTGCCTAACCAGGAATCTCAATGGGACACTCACACTTTGATGCCAAAATGACCAAGGTTTTAAATCCAGGAAAGAAGGAAATAGTAGGAAACAGGGAAGGAAGGAGGAGGGAGAGAGGGAGCCGACACACCACACATGCGCGTGGACACACACGGACACACACACACACACACACACACACACTGGTCAGTCTTATAGGAGGCTTGGGTCCTCTGCTGTCTAGTGGGCTGCAGGAGCTAATCAGCTGGCCTCTTTGTAGAGGCAACAGATCAAAACCAAATTCAGGCTTTCACACTACTGTGCTGAGTGACCTGGAGCTAGACGCTGTTCCTCTCTGAAGTCTCAGCATCCTCCGCTATGTGAAAACAAAGCTCTTACTCCGTGAGCTTGGAAATGCGCACAAAGTATTCAGCAGGCAGTACATAAATGTTCATGGCATAAACCCTTCCCTCTGGGTTCTAGCCTTGCCTGAGCGGGATCCAGGCTGCTCAGACTTGACTGCTAGGCCAAATGTCCTCCATGCCCCCCACCCCATCCCTATCCCCTAGCTTGGGTCTCATCAGAGTTTGGGACTGCATCCCATAAACCACGGCCAGCCTTTGCCCAGCTCTCAGAGGCCATTTGGGGGGAGCCTCAGGTGGCCGCAGGAGAGTGGGGCACAGGGCCTGGGGAGCAAGGGGCAGGACATATTTTGGGGTTCTTTTGGTATAGTGCATAGTCACCTCTACTCAGGCAAGTCTGGCCTGGCTTTAAGGCCCACGGCATCCGGAAGGGCTTGAGTCACCACGGTCAACAGGGCTGGGCCGGGAGTGGGAATTGAATCTCCTCAGAATCAGAGCCACGAGACAAAGAGGAAGTGGGGCGTCTTCAGCTGTTCCCAGGGTCACTCACCTCACAGCCCCACAGTGTGCTGTGTCCCTGCGCTTGTCAGCATAGTGGTGAGAAGGTGGATGCCGGGCATATGGCTGAGAACACACAGGTGGCTAAAACCTTCCCAGCAGGCTGTGGAGATGGCACGGCTGTAAAGTGTTTTCTGTGCAAGCCTGAGGACCTGAGTCCTAGCCCCGGAATCCGGGGGGCAGGGGGACAGCGGGGTGGCAGGCACTCACAGTCTAACCTGGGGAGGTGGAAATGGGGTTCCTGGAGCTTGCTGGCTGGCTGGCCTGGGTGAAGTGTGTCTTGAAGCTCAGTGTGGTCAGGGGGACAGCTGCTGAGGGTTGTCTATGGCACTCACACGAACGTGGACACACAACACGTCCTACCACAGTCAACCTAACAGAAACAGAATGGGAGCCGCCAGCAGGAGCCATAGAAGTTTCTAGTAAAGACATAAAAACTGAAAACCATTTTATCAATGTGTGTGTGTGTGTGTGTGTCTCCAGGGACAACCAATCTGAAGAGTTAGTTCTCTCCTCCCACCATGTGGGTCCTAAGGATTGAACTTAGGTCAGAAGGCCTGGCAGCAAGCTCCTTTACCTGCTAGGCCATTGGGCCTGCCCCGAAAGCCATTTTAATAAAATATTTGTCCCACTGAATATATCCCAGATATGAACCTGCTTAGCATGTAAGAAATATACAAAAACATTACAGGATAATTTATATTTATTTTTTGCACAACTGTAAGTACCGAGGGGAATCACTCATGCAGTGGCCTAAATGTTAGGTGGGCAATTGGCAATCACCTCCATCACCTCAGAAAGTGCTGTGGGCAGTGCTGCTCAGGACAGCCGGAGCCAGTGACCACTGGAGCTGAGACAGCTTCCAGCTCAGACTGTGGGGCCCTGAGGTCATATTCCTTCACAGGCCAGGGAGGTGGCTGAGTGGAAAGCAGAGAGCCAGGGTTGGACAGACAGTATGCAGACTTGGGGCCTGGGGTGAGAGGGGTGTTTATGGCATGACCTGTCGTGGAATAGAACATTTGTTTAACTATGTGAAGACGTGTTGCATTTGTTTTTACCTTGCCTGCCTAAGTCATCTGGTCTAATAAAAAGCTGAATGGCCAATAGCTAAGCAGGAGAGGGACAGGTGGGGCTGACGGGCTGATAGAATAAGTAGGAGGAGGAATCTAGGCTTGAGAAATAATGAGGGAGAAAGAGAGAGGGAGACACCAGGGGCCGGCCAGACATGGAGGAAGCAGGAAAGTAGGACATACAGAATGAAAGAAAAGTCAGAAGCCCCAAGGCAAAACATAGATGAAGAGAGACACCTTAAAATAAGTTATGAGAGCTAGTGGGACAGGCCTACGCTAAGACCAAGCATTCGTAATTAATAATAAGTCTGTGTCGTGATGGGGGCTGGCAGTCCACGAAAGCCTGCTACGACGACCCCACACCAGCTACTCAGCTGCTATCTCGCTTGTTTATATCTGGACTCAGGAGCTCACTATGTAGCCCAGGCTATCCTGACAAGCCTAACTCCTAATCTTTCGTGCCTCGGTCTCACAAGCCCTAGGGTGACAGGTGTGCAGAACCACACCCAGATTGGCATTTTTGTTCCCCAGGAAAGATAGGATCCCAGACTCATAGGTGCCGTCCTGACGCTGAAGTTTGGTGAGAAGTGTCTTCACTGAGGGCAAAGGAAGGAGAAGGGAGTCTCGGCGGGCACTGCTGCGGGCTGGGGGGGTGGGGTGCACTCTGACAGGGTGAGCCACGCGCCGTGACTGCGGGGGCTGCTCCTTCCACACCCCACTCCTCCTCCCCACCCTGTGCCCAGGCGTGACCCGGAAAGGCCACACAGAAGGTTCCGTGTGTTCTGGTTTCTGTTGGTGGGGCAGGTGGGATTGTATGTGCCAACTTGGCCAAGCCACGGTACCAACGATGGTCCAGCATTATTCTGGATGTTTCTGTGAGGGTGTTTTTGATTAGATTAACTTTTAGGTCAATGGACTTGGAGCAAAGAAGATGGTCCTCAGAACAGGAGTGGGCCTGGTCCAATCAGCAAAAGGAGGGGCTGAAAAGAAGGGCCGGGTGAGAGGTCTGCCGCAGACTGCGGTCTTCCAGGCCCAACCGTCATTTTTTTCCTACTCTCAACCTGCCGGTCCCCCGTGCGCCATCCCGTCAGGTGTGGGAATTCCCCAAGTCTCCACAGCTGTGAGCCCACCCCTAAAACACATCTCTTTCCCCTTCAGTGAGATGCAACGGCCATCACCACCTGGATTTCACTGTCCGCGGCTTCTGTCAGGCTCAAGCCACAGGCCAAAAACATTCAGCAGAGCCAACAACCTCAACTCCTGTTCCCAATGCCGCTGCTTACCAAGATCCAAGCTGGGAGCTGGGAAGCCACCTGAAGAGGGACGGCAGAGGGTTAGTGACCACTGGGAACATTCCGGCAGCAGCCAAGTTCTGTGACCTGCTAACACAGTTTAGCCAGCCCCCAGCCACACCAAGGAGCCTTTGCTCATGTTCTTGGAGGTGATGAGGTGCCGGGGTTCCACAGAGCTCTGCCCAGGGGCGGAGGACCAGCAAATCAGTCCCGCGGCCACAGTGCTGGGTGGGTTACTGAGCAGCTGTAGATGACAAACTGGGCTGGCACTGGCTTGTTTGTCCTCTCTGACTTCTGGCACCCCTGGCAGGCTCCAGATGAGCCCTAGTGTATTTCCTGTGACTCAGTCTCCCCTGTTCCCACACCACCGTGGCGAGTGGCGAGTGCCTCTGCCAGTGCCCTGTCCTCTTGCCTCAGTAAAGGGGGCCAGCGACACCCTGGGGTCCTGTCCTGGCAGAAGTGAGGATAGTTGCCACTGGAAGACCCAGCTGACAGCCCAGAACCTGAGGTCATTGTCCCATGCTGTTCATCCTCCTCCAGAGTCCCCACCACTTCCACGTTCTCCTTTCCAGGGAGCTATGAGTATCTAGCCACTGTGTCCGGCTTCAGCCCAATGCCACCTCCTCAGGGAAGCCCACCCGAAACCCACGGCCTGAGTCAGCTCATCACGTGGCCATTTAAATGATGACTGTCATTGTACTGTGTTTACTATCCCACACCTGCTCCTCCTTCTACATCTGAACCAGTACATCACACAGGCTGAGTGCCTGCTGAATGGACCATGGTGAGGAGTGGAGAACGGACGGAGGGCATGTTCCACCCTGCGGTCAGTTCCTGGATCGAGGACTTACTGAGCACTGGCTATGTGCTGGAACCTGGTCCAGACATCTGGGTTACATCAGGGAGCCAGAGAATGGCTTTTGTTGTTTATACTCTACAAGGTGAGGCATGGAATAAACAAGAAAATAAATCTTCCGGGTGGTGGGAGCTCATGCCTGAAATTCCAGAACTCCAGGAGACAGAGGCAGGTGGATCTCTATGAGTTGGAGGACAGCCTGGTCTACAGAGTGAGTTCCAGGACAGCCAGGGCTACACAGAGAAACCCTGTCTCAAAAAACCGAAAACACAGAAACATAGAAATAAACATGACAGCGTCCTGAGAGCTGAGGAAGTGTGAGTGTGCATAGGGGTGAGCCAGTGTGGGAGGGGAAGTCAGAGGTCAGTTTTGCAGAAGTTGTAGACCAGGAATCTGAGCTTTCATTCTGAAAAGCCAAGAATCATCATATCCAGTATTGACCAACATTCTTTATTTGAGCGCATTTTTGATCAGCAGTATCAGAAATCATGAATCTTGTGGTCACAAGGCCATGGGCTTCTCAGTGCGTGGTCTGTCCCTGTCCCCTGAGGGACACCACCATCCATTCCCAGAGGGCTGAGCTGATCAGTCTTGTAGTACCACCGCCAGCTCAGGGTCCCCCAACACCCCAGCTCTGGGAAAGCACTCTGACTCACTTGTGCCTTATCAGAAAGTGTCCATCTCTGGGATGTCCACCCCGGGGAGGCAGCAAGAGCTCCGCCCCTGGGTGTCAGCAGAGTTCCAAGTTGCCCGCTGTCCCCACCCTGCTCCATTCACAGGATGCCAGAAGCTTATGCTAGGAATAAGGACGGCAATTGTCTGCTTCCCGGCTCCAGCCTCTGCTGGCAGGCTAGCTCGGGGTCTCCATCTGCAGAACATATTACAGTATGCTTCCTTTTTTGCCATGGTTTTCTTCAAGGCCTCTACTGACCTTCGGATTTTTCTCTCACCCCTGAAGACTGTGGCCTTTGCATTTTAGACATATTGACCACATGAGGTGGAGTGGGGAGGCCAGACCCAGCGGTTGGGGTAAGAGACAGCTGGTGGTCTGCAGCCACAGAACCCATCACAAGGGCCACAGATGGGGTCCTTGATGGATAATGGGGGCCCAGCAGGGCTTGACCTGGGGTTACGGCCTAAGGGAATCAGATGAGAAAAGAGAGCCCTAAGCATCTTGGTAGACATGTGAGCTGGGGTTTCTCAAACTCCCATGGTGTGTGTGTGGGGGGGGGGTTGGAGAAGCAGCAAAGAGACTCCAGAGGCCTGTGTCCTCCAGGGAATGGAGGACCACCTCTGGCTTCTGGGCATCTACAGGGGAGATGATTAAACAGAAATGGGCAGAATCCAGCCTGCAGTGAACAGCTATAACATCTGGCCTGGAGCTTTACAGCCACAATGCCGCCCCCAGCAGAGTGGTGCTGTCTTCAGAGACCTAAAGCCAGTGGCAGCCATGAGCATGGATAGCCCCCAACCCCAGGTGTGCAAGAGCAATGCCATTTCAGGTTTGTCCCTTGGGGCTCCAGTGGACTTCCCTGCACCCTGACCACAGACTAGCTCAGTGAGAACAGCCTGTTCCTCAGGCAGCAGATCCAGGAGACAGGCTTTGAAATGCAGGAGAAAGCAAGAGAAGGCGCTGCAGACAGTGAGCCAGAGGCCCAAGGGGACCCCTGGAGGCCACCCTTGCTTGCTGCCTCCTATCAGATTGCAGAAAAGAATTGCTCGATCAGCTTGTAGGGCCCTCGCAGCAAGTGACAGCAACAGCCCTGGAGAAGGCCCAGCCCAAAGGGAAGTCCCCAGAAGGACTCAGAGGATTTGAACCGTGCCGTTGGCTGAGGTGGGTGGCAGAGCGGTGACGTTGGCAGAGTGGGTGTTGGCCCAGTCTGGGAAGGTGCCCAGCTGGAAGATGCTCTGTGCCCAGGTGTTCATGGCCAGGCTGAGCAGCAGGACGCCCATCAGGTTCATCAGGAGGCCGGTCCGCACCTGCAGTGGAGACCGAGTGAGCAAAGCAGCACAGGCCCTCAGAGCAGACGGTGGCGCAGCCCACAGCTGGCAGCCCACAGCTGGCAGCCCACAGCTGGCAGTGCTGGAGCCAGCCACAAGTATAGGACATGGATGCTTCCCAGGACCCAGGTTGGCCCCCAGGCCAAGTGATCTCCTCCACAGAGGGTCTCTAGCTGGCTACAGAGTGGTCTTGGGTTATACCTATTAACCACAAAGGTCACTTCAGCAAGGTTGTCAATTCCCCTTTAAGACAGAGAAAGGCAAGCTTGCCTAATGGTCCCACTTGATCGTAGGCCCCTCCCCATATTCAGCATACCCATGTAGACACACACGACACAGGTACACATGCTGGAGGTCCAGATAAGAAAATTCTTCTCAAAGAGAAAAATTGAGACAGGATCTCATGCAGCCTAGACTGGCCTCACATTCACCATGGAGCTGAGGCTGGCCTTCAACTCCCGATGGCCAATAACTTGCCTTTGTCTCCCAAGAGCTGCTATTACAGCTGATTTTCTATATCCTGCCTAGCTAATGTTTCACCAACGTATTTAGACAACACCTTGGTCTATGACCTTCTCTGTTCTGCTTCTATGAAACTTCATGAAGTTGCACACTGCAACATCCATTTGGGGTACCCGAAATCTGTGTTCCTGGGCCATGTTCACTTACATTTGGCTCCAGAATAAACCTTCTCTTCTCCTCACGGAGGTAAGAGCCAGCCAGGGTCACAAAGTGAAGGCCTCTCAATTGTTTCAGGCCTGTTTCCTGGAAACCCAGACCCCACATCTAATAATGTCATTCCTCTCAAAACCTACCCAGACCCAGAAGCCCTGGCTCTGTGGATCTGGTGACATGGGTGAAACCTTTTCTCCACTTTAGACTTCTGCAGGGGCTGGGCTCTCTGCCTGGACAGTCTCCCCGCCCTCCACCCCCGCCATGGCTCCTCGCAAGGCTGGTGAGTCATTTTCACAGAAGGGCTATTTTGTCCATCCCATCACTCTCTTTCGATCCCCAGTACCTCGTATCATTTTCTCACTTAACAATTATGAAATTCACGTATTTTTAACACACGAGTAGTCTTCTGGTTGGCCTCCAGTCACAGAAAGCAGCCTTCCTGCACTGCTGCCCCCCAGTGGCTAGAAACCAGATTACACTGGGTAAACCCAACTATGAAAGAGGCCTGGAGGGACTTCTTTCCTCTGCCTCTTCCTCGCTCTTCCTCTGTTCCCATTTATCCTGTTGGGGTCTCATGTCTGGTTCCGTAGTCTGGCCTCAGCTGTGTGAGCTGAGGATGCATGGGGTGGTGGTGGCTGGGGACAGAGGAAGAGGAGGAAGAAAAATTCAGAGAAAAAGGAGAGTAGAGGAAGAAGAGAATGGAGAGGAGGAGGTGAGGAGGAGGAAGAATAAGGTTTCGGTTTCAGATGTTTCAGCATCCAACGGGGCCGTGGAATAGACTGGCCATGCTGGCTCCTCTGGCCCTCCACTCACCCTTCCTCTTGCCAGGCCGCTGCTGGGAAGGCCCACACTTACCATGTCTTTGACCAGCAAGTGTCCACTGGCGAAGGCAATGGAGTTGGGGGGTGTGGAGACCGGCAGCATGAAGGCGTAGGAGCAGCCGACGGTGCCAGGGATCATCAGGTACAAGGGGTGCACGTGCAGCCGGATAGCCTGGCCCAAAGAAGTCACAATTGGAAAGAGAGCGTCAAGGACGTAGAGATGGTCAGAGTAACGGAGGACAGTAGAGGCACACGAGGAGAGGGACAGACACAGAGAAATGTAGCCAGACACAAAGGCAGGACAGGCACTCCTAGAGAAACGGAAGAACCCTTTTAAGGCCAGTGATGACAGGCCACACTGCCTTTTACTTATTCAGAACGCCCCTTCCCGCGTGAGTGAGCTTGCGGTCTTAGCTCCTCCAGAGTAACTGATCCAGAGGTTGGAATGGGACCCAAGACTCTACATCTCTCATACACTCCTAGGTGCCCAGGCTGTAGCTGGTCCAGGGCCGTAGGCCAAGAACTAAGGCTCACATAACCAGGCTTGGCCCTGCTCTTGGCTACACTATCCTAGAAGTTGCCGCGGGCCACCTTTGGTCAGAGCCTGGATCGAGCTGAGAGACCAGGGGTTGTCCCCCTGGCAAGCATTGCCATGTTCCTGAGATGGAGAGTTCAGTATGAGTTGGTCTCAGGTCCTACCTACCGGACCCAAAGTGTAGACATTTTCTTGACAGGCTCTACCATCATCCCTGGTCAGTAAATATTGATTTTGACGAGAAGCCACATTTAAGAGCAAATGTCCTTTGCTGGTATTTTTTCTAGAAACTCCCAGTTACAGACTTGACAGGCTTGGAGCTTCCTTCCCTCCTCCATACCACCTCACACCATCCCTGTTTCCACCTAGTACCAGGTGTCCTAGACTCTAGAACAGGGTCTGATTAACCCAGTCCCACTCCAAAAGGGCCTGAGGACTCCCGGATGCCCCGCGGAGGACAATTTGCTCTCATCCAGCACTGCTTCCGGTGACCACGCTCTTTCACCTACAACTCCCAGGTGAACCCTGTCTTGATGTAAGTGGCCTGTGCATTCGAGGGAGGACCAGCGGCCCTGATGGTGATCACTTTCTGGAACTGTCTGCATGTCCATTAGGACAGTGCTTAAACAGTCTCTCCGTTTACAGTGGACTCTGTTTCAGGGGTTGAAAAAACACACACACAGGCCTGTGGTGGGGGGAAGATGGGGCATGCTGACACCCCACAATGTGCAGGGCACCCCTCCTTGAGAAAATTCTTGATCTAAAACAGGAGGCAGCAGTTGGTTGTTTGGACTTTCTTCTACGCTGGTCTGGCAACTCAAGTGACCCAAACTTGACAATCTTTCTCTCCCTGAGAAACACAGCATGGCCTCATGGGTTACTTCTCCCATTAAGGGACTCGCTGTGCTTTGAGAGTTACCCCACTGTGGCGTTCCTTTGAGGAAGATGGCCCTGTCATTTACCAGCAGGCTCTGCAGTCGTTCAGACTCTCTGTGAATTCTAGAGGCGAGCAGGGCTGCTGGAGTGCCTGGGGAGGCTCCTTCGCAGGGGACTCTAAGTTGGGAGTTGGGCCAGAGGGTCCATTCACCCTGCCCCACGGGGACCCTCACCAGCTCGGCCAGGACAGGCAGGAAGATGATAAT